TGTCTGTCAAGAGCTGTTTGTCCATCAGGATTGTCATTGGATGGTAAAATTCTTGGCAATTTATTGTTTAACGAGTCTGAAGGATTAAGAATTATGGATTAAACACAATTGCCCCTGTGGAAGTTCAATCAACGGCGCCAATCCACTCACAGTTGCTTCTCACACTGTTCTGCATTTTAATGTGTTAACGTTTGGTGCCCTCTTTGACTTCCGACAGGTAGAAGATGAATACAAAAAGCATTTTGTTAAACCTATTGAGGATTTGTCTGCAATTCAAAAGCTCACCTAAACCATTATTAATGTAATCCTTTAGAAGAATTGCGGTTCTCCTGTAAGTAATCTAATGCAATAATGTAAAAACTTCTTCTCCCTACGGTCCTTTTTCTCACTCCTTTCAGCTGCATAGGATATCAGGGCGGGAGGACCAACACCTCCCCGCTCAATCGAGGCCTTTCGTCACCGCAACATGGAGGTGATGATAGGTTTGTTGACTTGGTCTGTCTTACCTCGCCTCCGACTGCATCATCTATCTGAATGCCTGTTCGTCTGTCCACCCATCAGCCACGTCGCAGCGAGCACACACGACGTCCAGACCAAGTGCATCTCTCATCCTCCTCCTCCTCCTGCACTTAGCATTGCCACTACCCTCGACGTGGTGACAGTGGAGGGAACACATCTCACCGAGTTCATCGACACGTCTATTGCAGATATTTCCTCAATTTTGACGCCTTTCGTATGCCAGCACGTAGTTCTATTTTCCATACATCTCAAGCTCGAACTTTTGCTGTTCTGTCTTCTTTTTATAATAAATCATACTTCTTGCCAATTATCTCACTAATCAACTGAACTATGACAGTGGGTATCCTCGTCACAATGGCTAATCATACTTCCAATTGTTTGCAAGTGTTTTATTATTCCGTGCAACGAAATGGAATTGTGGAAATATCCTAAGTGTGCTAGTATGGTACGCAACGAATCATAGTTATGCTAGATGCAGTCTGTTGTTGAAACAGAGGAATTGTTTCATTATTTCCTTCAGTTCTCTTTAACGGAATGCATTTTATCCACGCTAAAAGTAAAATACCTCTAAAATACACTGACTGTACAACTTGAACTTGATGTTAGAACCTTCTACTTAACCTGTTTTCTAACTCTTTGTCAAATACATGATGGTTGCAGACATGAAAATGATGGGAAGAGGGAAGGTGCACATTGAGATAAATGAAAGAAAGCTGTTCTTATATCCCTTGTTGCAAATGCCGTACTTCTGTGTGGCCTTCGATATTCCCCACCCCTTGACAAATTGTCTTTACTGCCAGTCAAATTAATTGTTTCACCAACACCCTAATATCATTACCTTTACATTTCGACCACACTATATGAAATACGCGAAACTGTTTCCAATGAAAGCCATATATATTAAGCCGTCTTCAGCTAAAGCTGGATAGACCTAGGTTCGCTAACAAAGTAAAATCTTACGTGCAACAGCACAGAAGGTAGCTTTCTAACTTGATGAGAAGTAGCTAGATACATGGATTTGGAGCCTTATAAAAATTGCACTATCTAACAGCTGGTGTCACTTATGAATCTAGTTAAGTATTTGGTTAGATGCTTTCCATTCCTACACTTGTATTTTTTCTCCTTTTTAAAATATTATTTACCAATGGGTTCTTCCGAGCATAGTAATTTTCAATGTAAAGATAATCGCAATGCACCGGAACTGT